CACTGGGTCATTGATCCAAGGGGATCTTCTTGTATCAACCTTCAAGAACAGCTGATGAGAGTGACATTGTGCAAAAGTAAAGGCCCTCTGATGGTTAGGTACTTCAGGATTAGTTAGGTATGACAGAGGTATGTGTTTGCTAGGCAACACTAGAGTAGTTACTTGAAGTTTGGCACATTTTGGGAGTCCTGCCAGTGTTCTGGGCTGACATATGAATCAAGCCATAATGTTAACTGTAATGTGGTTTGTTTGGAACACAGTCTGTGAGGTGAAGACAGGGATTGTGTTTTGTGAACATATATCTAAAATCTAAAATATGAGCAGCACTTTCAGAATCTGAAAAAAAAAACGTGTCTAGCTATTAAAGTAATGGAATGGCTGGTTTCTTGATGCCTGTCCATCTTCATTTTAGTTTTATTAGCATGACACATCTATCTCTTATGATTACTTGGTTTTTGACTTCTCTTCTGCAGTCTATTTACCTTGTGTCATTTCATTTTAAGGATAGCTTCATCCTTTCCGTCTTAATATATTTATCCTCATATACTGCAGAAAGACCAGAGTTTGGAAATAAGGTTGTATTGAAACAGTAAATTCAGCTTTATACATTCAAGCTCTAGAGAAAAGTATGAATCTGAAGAAACCAGGTAAACCTTGGATAGTATGACCTATTTCATGCAATTCTTTGGTTGACTTTTACAGCAGGTGGGGGAAGCATCTGCAGAGACACTTTCATAACGTTTACCTCAGAAACATGGATTGCTGAGTTTGAACATAAAACGTATGAAAAGAAAAGGATAAGAAAGACCCCCATCAACAACTCTTATTAATTTCAAACTTTAAATTGTCCATATGTATTTTTTGTGAGAAAAGTAATTTCATTTTTTATAAAACTTTATTAAATTTCAGCAGGGAATAAAATATAAGAAAACCACAAAAAAAAGAAATAGACAAAAGAAAGTCAGGAAAGAAATAAGATTAGGAGGGAAGAGAAAGGGAAAGGAAAACTTCTAACTTGGTACAGATTCAAATATAAAATATAATAACCTCTTACTATAAAATTAACTACACAGTATTTCTACCATCATAAATAGTGCTAATCATCAGATCCCAAAATTAAAGTTTCATTTCTTTCATTTTCAAGAAAAAAAAATCCAAAGTTGGTTTCCAAGTAACAAATCTAGACAAAGTGTTTTCTTTAATCAAAGTAGTCAGTTTTGCCATGTCTGCCAATTGCATTAATTTTACCATCCATAATTCCATTGTGGGAATCTGCCACAGAGTATTCCATCTCTGTGAATACAAAAATCTCACTGCTATTATCACACATAAAGGCAAACTCCCACTTTTATTTCAAGCTGTTTCTCGATCAAATCTAAAAGAAAACAATATGATTTTAAATGTACATTTATTCTAAGGTCTCTCAATTGAAGTATATATCCGATCCCAATATTTCTTAGCTTTTTTGTATGTCCACCAAAGATGACAAAAAGTACCTTCAGTCTGATTACATTTTCAACCTATATTTATGTTTAAATTCCCTTTCAAGTTATAATTTAATGTATATATTTCAATATATTACCCAACATATTCTCCAAGGATTAGATTAGGTTAGATTATTACACCTATATCCCAAGTTTATTATTTTTATAAATGTCACAAGGCAAATGTACCTAATGGTTCTTCCTTCTCCTAATTTCCCCACAACAACAACCCTGTGAGATGGGTTGGGCTGAGAGAAAGTCACCAGCCCAAAGTCACCCAGCTGGCTTTCATGTCTGAGGCAGGACTAGAACCATCCAAATTTTGGAACAATCTGAATTTTTTTTGTCAGTTACTCATACAATCCTTAACATATTCATCTTTCACGTTCCTTTTCAAAAAAATAAAAGTAATTTCATTTGAAAAAACAACACCAGAATTATATGCAGTACCTCAGTTTTTCTTTACCCTCTCGATAGGTGATGGTTCCAGAAACATCTGCAGAAAGTTTCAAAAACATCAAGATGGTGGCTGAGATTGCACAATTAAAGCTGTGTTCCTGCCTTTTTTATAGGCATTTGATGCATACCAAAAAGGGGCAAGTTTTTCATTTCACAGTCATGGCTGCCATTCTTCATTTATTTTAACACACATGCACATGCACAAAGACACACACAAACATACATGCTCACACAGACACACACTTACATGGCTGGTGTCCCTGAGTGCTGCACCATTGGGACCAAGAGCAATAGAGTTAAGTATTTACATTGTTGGCTCAGGAAAAAAGAGGTTTCTGCCAACTCTTTCAAGGCTGGCAAACTCAGGAAACAGAACTACTTAGATTTCTGGAATTCAGTTTATTGCTAATAGGGTAAAGTAACAACCTCTTGAAAGCCTGCCAAAGCAATTAATGGGATCAATTTACACTTCTTGTGATTAAGATGAAATTACTTTGAGTCTCCTTCTCACCTTTCCCACCTCCCTGAAGAAAGGAATCTTTTCTTTAAGGGTCTGATTCCTTCCCCTGATGTTCTAGCTTCCACTTCCATGTTCCCTATATCTGTTAGACATCCCATCACACAATCTCCCTATCAGACTCACTATCTAGCCAAATGAATAATGTTCGAGCGTAGTTTTCTCCATCTGTTCACATGACTCCAGGTGATGATAGGATGACAAATGAATACAAATGTCCGGTAACTGAAAGAGGGTTTTTACAAAAATGGGGTATAAATTGAGAAGATGATCAAATCATGTGATTAACTAGGAATTTGTTCTGTTTTAAAAACTGCTGTGCCATTTCCAGAGCAGGTGCCCGTCCTTTACAAAGAACACACACACACATAAATCATGCAGGTATGCAGATCCACTATCCTAACAATAATGACAAAACTATGCACATCCAGAAGATCAAGAATAAAATCCATGGATATTGCATGTCACAGTCTAATGGGAGACGGGAGCACTGGAGCAAACCAACTAGCTTAGTAGTCTTGGTCCAGGAACAGACATGATGTTCTCTCTGTGGCCATGAGCAGTCTTTGAATCCCAAATGCAACATATTAAAAACTCCTCCTTGCCCTGCAATCTTATTGTCACATTTATTCATAGAGAGAAAAATGCAAATGGCCATTTTGAAAAGTTATCCTTCAGCCAATTTGTATAATGACCTGGAGATCATCCATCCAACTCTTTAACATATGAGTCCTACTGTAGTAGTAAATGAATCAGATCTAGCTATTCATTGCCTGCCTCCCACCCCTAATGTCTCAGTAATATCTCTTCCAGAGGGAACAGGCATCAAGATTATGGTAGGAGAGGGCAAGCAGGAAACAGGCTTGCATAGCAAAGCATCCTGCTGGCACTTTATTTTGTTAGCTAGGAGCATAGGTAATATAGAAGTAAGCGTAAGAGGAATTCTTGCGATGCATGAATTAGCCCATGGTTAGCCCATTTAAGAAATCTATTTATTGTTGAAATGCTGCTTTTACTGCTATAATGTATTCAAATTTGCTATAATTAGTATATGAGATTCTTTTATCCAAATTAGTTTGTAAATTCCTCTCAAGACCACTTTAATGAAAATGCATGCTTTTTAAAGGTGGTTCGGCAGACCCCAAAGTAAGAGGCAGAAATAGACAAATCAATATCAGGATATGTATCTGGATGCCATCTTTCCTCAAGACAATAGATGCATGAAAAAAAAAAAACAGTCAAATTCATGGAATATCTTCTTCTTTGTGGAACTTCTGGAGATCTTGGATAGAGGAATGCTGTCCTCTTGGCTCAGCCAGGATTCAGTTGTACAAGTCAGGTCAGCTCAGATCAGAAGCAAAAGGTAGAGACAAACCTGTCATTTATCAACAGTACCTTGAGACTAAAAGCTCCAGTGCTCCAGTGATGCAATGCGCATGGTCAAGAGAGGAGGCTATTATTTTGCTAGAAGAATAGATGGGCACCAGGTTGCCAATCATTTATATCTTAGAATAGACAGCTCAATTACTTCTGTTGTACTTAATACCATCCCTCTTTTGGCTAGACCCTATCAAAAGTCTACATCACAACTTCATCACCCCTCTAAATTGACCTAGCCACACCTGCACTTCCAGAGATTCAAAGTGTAGAGATACCATCAAGCACTTACCTATGTCCTATCTCCCCACCCATTTTACCCAAATGTTCCGTAACTTGGCCACAAAATTTGCCAGAGCTTCCCAGATGTGGCAGAAATTTAAACAGAAATTTTTCATAAGAGAAATTTAGACCATAATAAGAGCCAGTCTAAAGCTGGTCTAAAATTCCTTTGGCTCACTGCACACATTGGGGAAGAAAGGGAGGGGGGAGGGGACCTTGAAATGATGAATGTTGTTTTAAATACGCTCTGCCTAAACAGTTTGATGCAGTGCCTATGTTTGAATTTCTGCCGAATTGTTTTGAAACTACTGTATGTATTATAAGTAGAGTTTGATTGAAAAGCACAATTGTTTGTTTTAGAGATCTATTTAAAAAAAAGACTAATAGAAAAAAAATACAATGGTTTGGGGGAATTGAAATAATTCTTTCAAAAAAATAAAGTTGCATTTTTATACTAAAATGAAACTTTAACAGTGTACGTGATACAATCAAGAAAGGGAAAAAAGGTTTTTTTTCTTGATAGTGGACATCATAAAGAGTTTTTTTATAAGGTACAATATATTGTATAATTGTAAAAGGGAGTATCTCATAGATCTTGCACAAGCCATCAGAGGAAATGAAATTGTAATGGAATTCTTGTTTAGACTGTTGGAAATGGCTATTTTTATTCTAAGAGGCTGTATGCTTATCACATTCCCTTTTAAGTCTACAAGAAATCAATGAATTTAAACATTATACTATTCTTAGAACAGTGGATAAAATCTAGCATAATACTTAGCAACTGGAAGAAGATTTTTTCTATTGTTCTGCTAATGTAGTTCTCTGGAGAATTTTCACTCAAGTGACTGATTATGTATACATTTGTATGTTTTCTGTGGAAGGTGTACGAGGCAGTTCCCTGTTACAGTGAGTGTAATCAGTATTCCTGGCGAGTAGAACTGTGGTCTCAATGTGAAATCAGCAGTGCACAAAATTCCCTCCACTGTGGAGAAGGAATACAAACGAGACAAATCAGGTGAGTGGAAAATGAAAGCAGTTGGCTATTGATTGATTGATTTGATTTGATTTGATTTGATTTTCATAGCTGCCCAGCTCAACCAAATGACTCTGGGCAGCTTACAATTTTAAAATTATAAAACAATTAAAAACAATCTTAAAAAATTAAAGCAATAAAAACCTTCACAAAAGAAATTTAAAAATAAGCAAGCTAAGAAAATATAACAGCTGTTGAGGGTATTATTTTCCATTAACATCTTTATAAAACTATCTTAATTTTATCACTTGAAGCCCTCTTCAACTATTTATACTGCTTTTTTTAAATTAACTAACCAATATTGTATTATGCTATGTGACACTATGCTATTCAAAACACTTTTGAATAAAATGTGTCTAGAATAGTCTGTTTCCTATTTCATATTTGTATGAAAATAAAGTTAGTCTTTAGAATAATAATTCTGTCACATGAACTGTAAGCAGATCTTTGATTTCATGAGCAGCATTTTACTTAATTGCAGAATTTCTACATATTCTTTCAGCTCTCCTCAACAGTACTAGCATGATATAAATATTCAGAGATTATCAACTGATTAAATAATTATTAGTTATCCACATATGTGACATATGTAATAAACATAAAAATGTTTCTGAAAAGTAAAAAAAAAAAACTTAATTGAAAGCTTACTGGAGGTAAGACCAGGAAATGGGAAAAAAATCCCAGAAGAAAGCAGTGATAAACCATTTTTATTCTGCTGTCTGGATAATTGCAGAGACGTGTCTAACAATTCGCCAGATGTTGAGCTTGATTCAGAGACTTGACTTTATTTACTATATCACTTATTTGTTTTTCATTGTGGAACACCTTGCAGATGATGTTCTTATCATCCTACAGATGTATAAACACCACTGAAGGTGGAGATGGTGAACCTGTACCTCTTGTGTTTTGTAATGAGTCCAAAGTTCCTTTGGAAAAACAGAAATGTATCCTCTATTGTCCTAATGAATGTGTGGTGTCTGAATGGAGTCACTGGAGTCAATGCCCAGAGGTACTTTAGTTCTGCCATAGTTCAAATACTTGCTATTTTTAAATATTAACAGGATCGCCAGTCACATGCTTAGATCCATAATGCCATAAAAAAGAAGTGGCTAAGAAATGTATATTTTTTCTTGGAACCTAATATTGTTGCTAAATGGAATGAAAGTAAGCTCTTTCTCTAGTGAAGTGATGTATGACTTTTGTTCTTTGATAAGTATGCTTTTCTTAGATTATCATTTATTGCATCAGTACTGCAACTTGCTTTACACGGGTCTACCTTTGAAGAGCATCATAGCTCTTCCTAGCAATTTAGCTACAGTAGCTCAAAATGAGGGGAGCAGGTAATTATCAGTGCCTGTCAATCTGCACATGTTATACCTCTTCTCCATGAACTGGATCAGTTGGCAGTAGGCTTCCAGGTTCTGTTCAAGGTGGTTTCAGTTACCTATAAAGCTATTTATGGAATGGGACCAGGTTACCTAAGAAAGCACCTTTCCCTGATTGTGACTATCCATCCCAACAGCTACAGCAGAAGAGGCATGCTATGGGTCCCATCTACTAAAGGATGCCATTCTAAAAGACCCAGGAAGTGAGCCTTTTCTGTCCTAGTACCTGCTGTTTAGGACATCATATCTCTGAACACATGGTTGTATGTTGGGCCTGGGGTTCAAAACACATGGTAGCGTCAATGCGATAGTTGTGTGCAAAGAGTTTCTCCTCCTTTCTCCTTGTCCAGTTTTATCCAATTTCATATAATAGCACTGTGGTGTTTTTTATGTTGCCTTTTCAGTGTTGTTAGCTGCCAAGAGTCATCATGATGAGATTATGGCAATATAAATTTCCACCCATCTTATTTGATTGATATAGTGATCTTCTATTGTCAGTATCCATGTACAATAAATGAATAAGCCCTCTCTGAAGATTCAGTGGCAGCAATATTTAAAGCAAATGCCTTTTTTTGTAACATATTCCTATCCAAAACCCCAATTGCATGAAAACATTTGAGGCATTTGATGGGCCTGGTAGTTCCCAAGGTGCCATACTCCCAGATGTAAGCAATGTATGAGATGATAAAGAAATTTCTCCATTATGAATGGCCATATGTTTTCATTCTGTAAAAGAAAGATATCCTCAATACATGCTACTAATAATGGACAGCCAAAATATAGATCCCTGTGAATGCCTCCTGAAATTCATAATTGATCCTGATCTTAAGATTTAATGTGAAGAATTTGCATTCATATTTGAAAAATAATCTTCCTGAGGAAATAGTCCTTCATATATGCTATTATGTTGTCATTGTCATATTGTCATCATTCTATTGACATTATAATAAGCAAATCATTTTGAATAGCTATTGTTTTCATCTAATACTGTGAACCAATACAGATTCAATAAGCCTGGCTTCTAAAAATATTTAAATTCACTATCATATACAAAATGCCACAAATTATTTTTCATGATTGCTCCCAGCAAAACAATCCATTTAGTTCTTTAAAAAATATCTGTCCTACAGATTTTTATTATTCAGTTATATTCTTTCACAGGCAAACAATAAGACTATAGAATGATACTCTTATCTTAGTTTAATTGCTGTCATCCTGAATATATACTCAAATCATCCTACTACAGATAGTTCTTGAAGTACAATGGCAGCCGAGACTGCCGGGATTCCTATTACTAAGCGATGAAGTTCTAAAGCACATTGTCATGTGACCTCATTGCTTAGCAATTGCAGTCCTGGTTTTGTCGTAAACTCAAGACATGTGGGTTGTTAAACAAGAAGTGGCAGGAGTCCCAAGTAATGTGCATGGGTGCCCAGGGGGTAGTGGTTGCTGTGGTGATGTGGAGGGGAGGCTGAGAAAGGCCCTAGGAGGCCCAGTGCAGTTGTGTGCAAGCACATGAACACCGTTGTGTGGGTGGTGCTGTGTAGCCTGAGTACAGAAAGACGAGGAAATGGACGGTGTGACAGGACACAAACATAGAAAGACTGGGAGATGGCAGAGCAAGGTGTGAGTGCAGGAAAGTCAGAGGACGGATGGTGCAGCAGGGCATAAGTACAGGAATGCTGCCCCCAGGTAAGGTTGAAAGTTGGAAGCATGGTTCTCCAGTGGTTCACTTCATTTCTCCTTGTCCAGTTCCAATCGGTGTTGGATGGGAGAAGAGAACTATCTTATCTGGGATACAGCAGGGCTTGGGTCTCTCTCCTCTTCTGTTTAACATCTGTATTAAGCTGGTGAGTTAAGTCACCCGTCAGCATGAGGTTCAGTATCACTAGTATATATCTCACCCCCAAACCAAACAAGTGCTTACTCAGGACATGGAGGTTCTGAGGGTCTAGATCAGAGGTGTGAAACTTGCTGCATCACATGACATGTCGTGACATATCGTGACTTCTTTCACCTTGCCGGAGCTGAGATGGGCGCAGCTTCCGTGTGACGCATCCAGCCCATTGGCCGGCAGTTTGACACCCCTGGCCTACATAGTGAGGAACCGCCTGTGACTTAACACTAGCAAGATAGAGTGACTTTGGGTTTTGGGGTCCCCTGTATCTAAAGGGTTGCCCTTTTTAACTCATAATGGGGTAGGGCTCCCCCAGATAGAGTTGGTGCACAGTTTAAGGAACCTCCTGAATTTTCTTGCCTGAAGAGAAGATTGCAGCCATGGCTTGTGTGGGTTCTTTGGACTACCCATCCACTGGATTCATAGGGTTACCTCACCCCATGTCCCCTTGATTACATGTGGTCATCTAATAGAATCTAAGAAATGAGCGTTCTTGTAGATGCACCTACCCTATGGAACAGTGGTGGCGAACCTATGGCACGCATGCCAGAGACAGCACTCAGAGCCCTCTCTTTTGGCACATGAGCCATTGCCCCAGCCCCATCTCCCCCCATGGCTCCTTCCTCACCAGCTGCCCCCTAGAGGAGAGTCACCCCCGAGTGCGGCCTCTGCGGAGCAGTACAATCAAGGACATGGCAGCCAGGCAGTGGGGACAAGACTCCGCCCTCATGCCCCATCATGCGCAATTGATGCTGTGGGTGCGGGCAGAGGGCATAGCCGCCATGGCGCTGCTCGGCCTCCTGGGCAATCTGTGGTGGGCTGTGGAAGCGGTGAGTGGCCCTGAGGGTGGGTGTGACGGAGACGGTACGGGGACAGGTGGGGGGGCGGTGGCAGTGTTTGGGCACTCGGTCTCTAAAAGGTTTGCCATCACTGATATAGAACATCCTCCTCTGTGAGAGAAGAAGGGTCCTGTCTTCCTTACCTTACAATCAGTCTTCCCTCTTAGGGAGGAGGGCATAATGTCAGGTTAGCTCTGACGATGGTGTGTTCACGTTTTAATCTTTTGCTTTTATTATGTGTCTCTGTGTTAGCTGTCTAGGATTGATTAAGATAAGATAGATGGCCATGTACAATTTTTCAAATAAATAAATACACTGCTAGTGCATAGCAAAGATACTAGTAATAATATACACTGTCTGTATTTGAAGTCCCGGGCCAGAGATAAAATAAAGGAGAATATTTGTAGCTCAGGATTAAAATGAAGGGTCTTTGGTTCTCTCTGAGCCTGGTTGTTTTCTTGCAGATGTTTCATTACCCAAATTAGGTAACATCATCAAGTGTTCCTCATGAAACTGAACTAGTTTGGGTAACAAAGCATCTGTAAGAAAACAATTGCTCCCAGAGAGAACCAAGGACCTCCCAGAGGTAAAAACGTGTACAATTCAAATCAATCCTGCTACACCATGCTACTTTTCTCTCCCCTCTAGTGCTTCAACAATTCTATTTTTGATTTTATTCTCATTTTTAGTTCATTGTGCTGTTTTTCTCCCATTTTTTGTGCTTACTAGCCAATAACCATAATAGCCAATAGTAAACTATACTAAATTACTGGCGGTATTATGGATAGAAAGTGTAGAAATTTAAGGTGGATGAGAGCATAAGGTCATAGCAAGCAGGAGACTATATTTGTGTACTTGGGATTCATGAAAATCCCAAATAGTTTGCATGATAACCTTTTTTTAAGAGCTTGGAATATGATGAGAGAGACAGAGATAGAGACAGAGAGACAGAGAGAATTTGTTTCTATAGGCATGTTTGCCATATTCTTAGGAAAAAATATATTTTTTCTTAGTTATATAGGATTTCTTTTATCTGGTAATACAAAATCCATATAATGTATCTTTATTAGGTTGACACAAGTTTACTAAACAGTTTGCTAGCTTTCAAATTTCAAAAAAATAGTTTAGTTTTTTTTTGGGGGGGGGACTTTAAAGATGATGGAGAAAGGAATAAACATAGCGAGGGTTCAATCCATATTTCGCTCAATTTCAGCCTGGATGAAGTATTAGAGAATCTGCAGATGTGAAAATTAGTTTTTATCAGCTTTGCTAGCAGTGTGAAGTTGCACTAGAGATTCTCCCAAGGCATGTTAGGAATAGGAAACAAGCAAATATTTGTTAGGGATCCATTTTTGGAACTATAATATCCAGTTAAAACTGTTTTATCCATCTGTGAAATATGAGGTTCCTTTAGTAAGTGTAAAACAGAAAACAAAGATAATTCCACTTGGTTGAGGCATAAATCTGATTTGTGCGCAGGGAAAAAAAGTCTCTGTGACATTCACTATATCTATATATTTATGTCTATGTATAAACCGAGGATATAGAGGTAGTCCTTGTCTTAACGCCAGTCACTTAGCAGATTCAAAGTTCCAAGAGTCAGGTTCCCCCCGCAGTCACATGATGACATTTTGGGCACTTGGCAACCAGACCACGTTTATAGCTGTTTGCAACATTCCACAGTCACATGACTGAGTTTTGCCAAAAAAAAAATGGCATTTATTTTTGGTTTTCAGCAACATTCTGCAGAAAAAAAAATGGTCAAAAATTGCCTTTATAACTGCCATGAGATAACAACCGCTATGGTACTAACTCAAAGACTATCCGTATACTAATAACGGATATTATTGGTGTTATTTATATGATTTATAAACCAGTTATATATTCC